TGAAGAAAAGGAAGAGAAAGGGCCTGGCCATATTGCCCTGGAGTGAACTGTGGGGCCCTTGATGGGATATGAGACCTTCATGGGGCCCCAAAATATAATTCACTAATGTGGGCCATTGCAGATACACCCGGCTGAGCACCCTTTGTTTTCACAATTGGTAGCTAGATCATGATTCTACCCCACCCCACCCCCTGCCTTCATTTTGTGCCCTGTGGTGGGCCGGATGTTGCACTTAGAGAAGACATCCTCCTGAGACATGAAGATCACTGGGCGATCATTTTCTCTCTTCTTCATCACCAGGTATTTAAGAGTATTAAAAGATATATAACCACAAGTGAGAATATGTAAAGTCCCTGGAGAAGCCCCTTACCACTACCCCAAACATTGTGGGGTTTTTTTTTGGGGGGGAATCAAGTTGAAGAACAGTTCTAAGGAACTTGAAAGATCACAGATGAAATCAGAACCATTTTGGAGTCTATATCATTCCACTGTTACTTATTGATGTTTCCTCCCTCCCTATTGGACCAGCATGACTACCTGCAAAGTTCATCTGATTTAAAGCTAACATTTCTGGGCCTAGCTTAATTTCTTCTTCTTCTCTCTCTCTCTTCTGCTTCTCAGATTTCCTCCCACAGCCATCAGATCACAACACCCGCACTTGTCTCTCCAGCATAGTTCACCCTTTTCATCTCAGCTGTCTGAGATCTCATTAGCGACTGTGTGCCCATCTTTGATTGACAGCTGCCAGGCTTTCACCATTATGTGCCTTGGCACCAGCTGCACTTCTGTCAGAACTCAGGGTCTTCAGAAATATGGCAATTAATGGAAGATTTTGGCTCCTTACTTACATACTGTATATGTATCATATTCATGCAGTTAAACTGCCTCTGTAGGAAATGTACATCAATGCAGAGGGCTCTAGGCTCAGAGCATGGAAGTTACCACAAGACTCAACAGAGCCAACTCCTCCAAAGTAGAATCATGTTGCTGTTCATTCTTCCACTAATCTATATGGCTTCACCCAACCCAAAATATTCTCCCATATCATGCGGGGTCCTTTCTAGCCACCAGCTATAAGTGCGAAGACAGCCATAAAGCCTGGCTACTTAAGATATCTTAAAGGTGCGGGGTTTTTGGGGAGCTTATGATTCAACTTAGAAGCAAGCTGTAGTTTAAACCCAAGGATTATCTGAATTCAAAAATTGTGGATTGAGGTCTAACACTCTATCCAGTTGCCCAGCCTTTCCCAGCTATGGTGCCATCCAGACACCTTGGCCATTGCCTCTTGACAATTGTGCTTGATGTTGTGCTGGCTGACAATGATGGAGGTTGCATTCTAACACATCTGGAAAGCAGCAACTTTGGAAAAGTTATGCTGGGCTGTATATCAGATGGGTTCTAGAGTGCACTTATATTTCCCACATAAGCATCTTCTTTCATTAAGATTCAGAGCTTGGAAAACTTATGTTTTTGGATTGTAGTTCCCAGAATTCCTAGCCAGTGTGATTCGTGGTTATGACATATCACAATGGTGTAGGCCAACAGCCCACTAAAACAAAAACATCTGCAGCAGACTATTCATTTAAATGGAGAGAGGCAGCCCAGAAAAGTCATGTTTATTTCCTACCTGCCCCGACTTTGGGTGTTGCAAAATGACTATGATTCTTGTTGCGGGAGGTATTTCTACACAATGTAGCAGACTCCATGTTCTGTCTCCAAGTTCTCTGCAGTGACATTGAAAGACCATGTAGGACAATAGGATTTGAATCATATTCTGGTAAAAAGGAAGTGAGGCATGCTTTTGAATAGGACTGTTTTTAATTTGACATTCTTACCCTACCTCTATATCCTGGAGGACAACGGTGCAAGGGACCTTAGCAAAACAGTAAGAACAAAACACTTCCACTAGAGGGGGGGAATGAAAGAGAGAACAAAAGATATCAAAAATACTTAATAGTTTTTTTTTCAGTATTGCATAAAACAGAGGAAACGAATATATTGTCCTTGCTAAGGGGAATTCAGATCACCACGCTTCCGAAATTTCCAGAACTGCAAAGTGGAAATGGAACCAGATCATCACTGGAATCAAGAAATTAATGAGATGCACTTTGATTCCAAATCAAAGCATTAATATTAATACTTCAAGGAAAAACAAGGAAGAGAAAGTAGCTTTGAAGGTCAAAATCCAGTCGTGCTCCTCAAAACATCACTCACCAAATTTACAAGAGATGTTAAATGGCTGTAATGGCCAATGTGAGCTCATTAACAGGCAGACTCCTGCTAGTAGGTTGTTAAAATCCTGGCTCAAGGCCAAGCTCTGAAGTACCTGGGTTTCACTAGCGTCTCTTGGCACTGCCATCTAAAGCTGTAATCAAGATGTATATGACTGGGAGGTCTAACAGAAACCAATGTGAGAGCCATTCCCCGGTAACAGGAATTCTCTGCAACTGCAGTAAACTCCATGTGGTTTGGACGATAAGTCGAATATCCCCTTCCAATTGGGCCACACTGTCTAGGGGTTTGTGGCAGCTGTCATCCAAAAAAGGTGAAGGACATCAGTTTACACTGCAGAATAATTCTATGCACATTTACCTAGGAGTAAGGCCATGGAGACTAATCTGGTTTTATGTCCTCTGTAGACGCATACAGAATTTTAGTGTTCTCTTCAGGCATGAACATACACCTGAAATATGGCTTGCTGTACTCCAAATGGTTTATTTGCTTCTTACCCACAGAATTTGATTTAAGGGTGTAAAACAGGATATTTCTTGAGAAGGAAAAGAAAACAACCATCAGATTTATGTTTTCCTAATAGAAAACAAGGTATTACATTTGGTAAGTTACTACTTGTCATTGCTACCTCTAGATTTATCAAGAGCACAAACATTGATCCAGAAGAATAATGTAGGCAAACAGGAGAGAATATAAAAATTGAGACATTTTAAATTTGGGACCATTTTGCCCATTCTTCAATGCTGCTGGGAAAAAATAGCATGCATTGTGTAGTCATTGAAATAAGAGCTGTGTGCAAGTCAGCAGTGATCACTTATTCATCTCACTCCACCACAGGCAACTAGAATATGACTCTTAAACATATTAAGCCATGGAAGTGTTGTAGAAATAGGAAAGGTTGTTTGGACAAGGTGCTGCTGCTGGTTCTCGTATTCTGGAAACTAGCGATGAAACAAATAACTTCTCCCATTTCTGAGTAGTTGTGCATACATTGTTGTTTGGCTGTTCTACAACCCAAGAGAATCTATACTATAGTCCAACCCTGTGCAAGCTTAGTGTATCTGGGATTTGAACCCCAGGTCGTGAGCACAGTTTTAGCTGCAGTACAGCGGTTTAACCACTGCGCCACAACCCAAGAGAATCTATACTATAGTCCAACCCTGTGCAATCTTAGTGAACAATCAGTTCCATTGAGTACAATAGTACAGTATCTGCTCCATAATTAACCAGTTAGTAGGATTGGGGCCTTAATAATACATCACCAGAGCTACCTTGGCTGGAGTTAATTCCTGAACCAGTTTCTGAAGATGATCAGTGCTGTACTGTACAGTATCTTGGTTTAAATTAAAACCGACAGGCTTTCTTTTATCCCCCCCCCCAGCAAGCTAGGTACTCATTTTACCGACCTCGGAAGGATGGAAGGCTGAGTCAACCTTGAGCCGGCTATCTGGGATTTGAACCCCAGGTCGTGAGCACAGTTTTAGCTGCAGTACAGCGGTTTAACCACTGCGCCACAACCCAAGAGAATCTATACTATAGTCCAGCCCTGTGCAATCTTAGTGAACAATCAGTTCCATTGAGTACAATAGTACAGTATCTGCTCCATAATTAACCAGTTAGTAGGATTGGGGCCTTAATAATACATCACCAGAGCTACCTTGGCTGGAGTTAATTCCTAAAACCAGTTTCTGAAGATGATCAGTGGGTGTACTGTATCTTGATCTAAATTAAAACCGACAGGCTTTCTTTTATACAGTATTTGCACAGATCATTTACTCCTTGATATTTTATTGGCCGGTGGTTATATTTTTTTATCACCTGTCCAGGAGTTCAGGGCAGTGAAGATTATTTTTCCTTTTCTCCATGTAACTATGACAACGCAATCAAGTAGATTAATCTGAAAAGTGACGACTGGTCCAAGCTTTTGGGCTTCAGCTTTGTGCTTGAATTGTGACTCTATATCTTCATGCACCTAGTCAGACCTTCCAACCCCTTTCTTATATATTAAAATGCATCCCACTTCCTTATGTTTTAAAATATAATCATGCTTGCCATCCATCTTATTAAAAGGAAGGAGTAATCTACAAAGACTCTCACTTTCCAGGCAGCTGGTGGAGCAAGCTGGGGTGGCGCAAGCCTCACTCCAAAATTCAGGGGTGGGAAAAACAACTATTGATGTGAAGTAAAATCCTAGCATCTGTTAAAAGCATGTGCAAGCGGAAAGGGGGTGGCTGTCTTCCAAAACCCTGATTCGTGGGGGTGGGTGGGATATCAGAATAGTTTTATGCTTAAAGAGAGTCGAAGAGGCAATTAATCCGTTATGTTGTGCGCAACCTGAAACAGATACTTCTATATATATGCTGCTGGTGCGGGCTCCTAATTCGGTTCGGCAGTGGTGTGTGCCCGGACTTCGTTAATCGAGGGTATCAAGAGCATGCCTATAAAGAACACGTTCGAAGGTGCCGAACGTTCGAAGGCGCTCTATTGGCTGGTGCCTCCCGCTCGCCTCTCATCATCTTCTCTTTGATGTGCATCCCTTCGCCTCTGCAGGGCCTAAGCCAAAGCACTTCCTCCCCTGGGTCAAAGTGCCTCTCTCTAGCTTTGTGGTCATACCATGTTTTCTGTCTGACCTTCTGAGCTTGCAGGTTTTCTGCTGCCAGCTCTAGATTTCTCTTTAGGTCATTCCTTAAAGAGTCTATGTATGTCACAACGTCTTGTGGGTCATCCTGGGTGCTTTGCTGATGTCATTCGCTGGTTCCCTCCAGGCTGAAGGCATCGGCGAGAGTCGCAAGGCAGAGCAGCTCGCCCCGATCGCGATCATGGCTGCTGCGGCGAGGTGCGATTGCCTCCTGTCGCCCGCGGCGCCCAGCTAATCGCTCCACCAGGGTGCGATGGAGCCCAGTGATGCCGGGAAGCCGCCGAATCTGATGCAATTTCTGCGGAAGCTCAAGGAAGTCTTCGATGTGTGCGATGAGGACGCCGACGGCTTCATCCGGGTGGAGCGCTTCGTCGCCCTGGGCTTGCAGTTTGGTGAAGGGGATGAGGTAAGGGATCATCAGCTGGTGGAGAGAAGTGAGGGGACCATTACATTTTCAGTGCCATCACCATTCTGGCTACAAGGGAGTCAGCTACAATCTTCTCTACCTTTGTGGGAGACCTTGGGATCCCACTAACCTAACCCTAGAAAGCCCCATTTCTTAAGACATCAAAAAGACCCACCCTGAATTCTACAAGAATGACATGCCATCCAGACAGCTAACTATTGCTTAGAACAGTCCTTAGTGTTGTTGTTCTTGCACACACACACGCTGGAATATTTGAGTCACTGCATGCATCTGAGCATGTGCAGAGTTCCTCACCCTCACTACTCTTATGGCCACATACATGGGATGAACAAAGGGCCTTTGTATACGATTGAATATTAGTGGATCACAAATCCAGAAGTAAATACTAACCACATACTCTTTAGTTTTATTTTATTGTTTTTTGAATTAGGTATCCCAGATACCCAGATAGATATGTCTCAATGTAAATGTGTAGAAATTTGTTTTCCACAGCTTATCCACAGGACACAAGGGTAATATGGTCCAGTAGGATAAAACATGGAACACAGATGGAGGCAAGTTTACTATCAGCTCCACACCACTTAGGGGACCTCATGGTTGAAGCATCCTGACAGGGCAATTAGATGGGAACCACAGGAGATGGGAGAACTAAGAATCCAGCTGCTGCAGAACAAAAGGTCAATACAGAGACACCTGTGAAACAGACCTATCAGCTAAGAAGCCACCACATCACCCACATATGAGTCCAACGTTATAAATCTCCTTGTTACCTAATCAGTAGGTTTATAGCTCCAAATCTTGTGTGTGGTAGCAGCGCACAACCAGTAGGCTGGGAAGAGGGTTGATACACCCAACATGTTCAAACAGTTATTTCAGGCTTTACAAGAGTTGTGAAAATTGGTCCTCTCTCTAAATTCTGGTAGACTGATCCACTTTTTTTATCAACAAACTCCAGTTTGTTCCATCTTGCACAAGCAGATGACCATTTATTCTTTTACCAGCTCCTATAAACGACTAACCAACTACGGGACTTAAAAATCCTGTGCTTCTCAATGGTGCTCCCCACATTTTGTCCCTGCTTCCTTCCTCTCCGCTTGCTTCCTCCCCCTCCTCTCCCCCGGTCTGGCCTCACTAGTACTTTCCTGGTTTCGATGGGTGAGTTTATCAAGAATGGCAGTATCTGTAAGGAAAGGCTCTTGTAAATAAAAACTCACTTGCTTCTCTAAAACAGCCTCTAGAGATACTGGAGAGTGAGATATCTTAAGAAGGAATGTTGGGATTCTTCCAGGGCTTGTTTAGCAAAAGACTGATGTGAGTGTTGGGGAAAGGACTTAAGTGTACTTCATCAAAGCATTTGATCTTGGAACAGTAGCATCATTAAGGTTTATAATACAAATGCAGCAAAAAATTATGTCCATATAAAGAAACAGCAAAGCTTGGAGCCAGATTTTCAAAATTGCCTCATTAGAGTAGTTAAGTCGAGTTAATGATGGTCATACAATGTGTTTTAGAGCTGAATGAAACTACTGGACACATGAAAACTGGACAAAGAATGAAAGATGTTTTCTTCAAAGTGGACAGCACACAATTTTACTCTCCATTAGACAGCACCCCTTGCCAGTGAGTGATAACAGCATTTGAAGGCACTGCTTTAATAGTGCTTGAGACTCATTGCTTTCATTTGCCCTTGTAATCATTGTAGAAACAATTTCTATCATTATTGTTGGCAAAGTATGTCCTGTCCTTAGTTATATCATCTTATACATCTTATACTTGTGCCCTTCACAAGTTATTAATAATTGCACAAACATGGAAATGTATGGAGGGAAAAATATAGGCAGAAGAAGGACTGAGATTGCCCTTAATTTTTATTATTTTTTTTTAAATGCTTAGTAATGTATCTCTTTTTGGCCTGTTTTTGTAGTTGCTTTCCTTTGGAATCTTATTTCATAAAATATTTTCCAGATTGACCAGGAAATCAGGATAGAATGAATATGTATAAAAGCAATTTCTGAGTGATGTTTTCTCTTTCTTTAAAGAAAATTGAAGGAGATTTGCATGAAAAAATGCTGCTTTGGGATATGCAATGGATTAGACTGATGTTTTAATTCAAATAATTTTATCCTATCTATACTTGTGCAAAGGTGAAGATATATTTTGGATAGCCAAGTAAAATAAGACATTTTAACAGCTGCAACCCTCTATTTACTTACATGCCACCTTTCGATCAAAATCACCCCCAAGTGGCTTATACTGGAATAATAGCTCAGTGGTGTGGAGCCAATGGTTGGGAGTTTGGTTCCCCACTATGCCAGGGGCTGGTCCCGATGATCTAGAGAGTCCCTTCCAGCCCTGCAGTTCTAGGATTATTTATTATTATAAAGATAAAAACCACAAAAAAAATCATACCACCATGATTTTAGAAGCTAAGCAGCATCAGAATGGGTGAGTATTCAGAAGGGAGACCACCAGCAGAGAATAACAGGTATCTGCCTGAAGCCCTAAAGAACCATTGCTGCCAGTCATGGTTGGTAATACTTGGCTAAATGGTCCAAGGATCTGATTCAGGATAAGGTAGATCCCTGTGTTTCCTAAGAATAAAGCAGACACACTTGCTAGACTTCCCTCCCAGAGTCCCAGAACCACTTTGGACATAAGTAGTTTCAAACAGGGAAAACTCTTGCACCGAATTCCAAAGCAGCTTTTTGAATACAAGCTTAGTGAGTCTTTTTAAAAAAAATCCTTCAGAAGCAATTTTAACTCCAGACTTCTTTCCTTTGAATGGAAGGGGCAATTCTTCTTGCATTAATTGATATTTTAATTGTATTGTTTATTGACTTGAATTGGCTTAACATGCTCAGCTTTGTTTTAATTTACCCTGTCAACCCACCTGGGGATAAATATTATAAAGGGCAATTTAGTTACTGTATAGAACTGAATTGACTTACTGCATCTTTTACTGTGGTGTGTTTTATGTCAATTTATACTGTTGACCACCATAATTCAACTTGATTTATATCCTGGCATAGGTTTTATAAATTACAGTATATAAATACATGAAACAAACATTGGTATTAGGGTTTGGGGCTCATTAATCCACCTTGGCATAGGCCAGTTCAGTTGGTTTACTTGTATTTTTGATTATGGAATACAGTGGACCCTTGACTTACAGACGGCTTGAATTACAGACTTTTTGAGTTACAGACTTCTCTGGCTGCAAAATTTAGGTTTGACTTGCAGCCTGAGAATTGACTTACAGACCAGAAAAAAACCAAAATGGAACAAAAACGGCCTGTTACGGGATTAATCGGTTTTCAATGCACTGTAGGTCAATGGAGACTTGGCCTACAGACTTTTTGACTTGAGAACCGCCTTCCAATACGGATTAAGTTCTCAAGTCAAGACCCCACTGTAGTCTTTCTTGCTGGTTGCCTAATGTTGCTTTTTTAAAAGGTGTCAAAACCTTTCAGTGTGCTCAAACCCTTGAAGTATTTTCCTACATGTTTGACATTTTTTTCCTGCTTTGTTTCTCTTCTATTTCTAACTTAACCACCCTGAAATCATTCTTGATGAGGGGTGGGATGAAATGGTTTTAAATAAAACAAATGAGGCAAACCTCTTTTGATTGGACTTAAATCTAATTGATTAGTCTTGCAATCCACTTTGAAATCTGGTAAAATGTGATGTAATAAATTTCCTCAAAGGGTAGCTGCCTGAGCCTGTTCAGTAAAAGCAATAGACAGGCCTATAGCACCTCAAAGCCACCCTCCCCACACCACCTGCAGAGGAAATATAGGGACTCCATATAGGGACTCTCCCCATCCTGGCACATATATTTTAAGGTGGAAAATAAGCATGGGGAGTATCTTGAACTGACACATTTTGAAAGGGCAAGGACTAAGTAGCTCCTTTCTCCTTGCTTTTCTCCCTTCCAGGGTTTTATTACGGTTTTGGGAAGTGCAATACCCAAACTGCCAGTGCAAATAATAAATAATAATTAGATCCTGTCAAATTGATTCCAATGTATATCAACCCTTCCCAGGATTTTCTAGGTATAAGAGCGCGCAGAAATAATTTACTGTTCTGTTGTCTTTGGGATGTTCTGGGGCTGTTCAACTTGCCAAAGGCTACGCAGGCTGCTCTTCTCTGGGGTCATGCAGTGAAGAATGAAACTCTCTACCTCTACAGTCAAGTACTCAGCTCATTGAGCTGCCCAGCTGTCTTGACAGGGCATAGGCTGTCTGTAAATACAGTACTGTATACCAAAGCTGGATGAGTTGGAGCTGTCCACAGTGTAGTACTGAAGGTGGATCAGTAAGTTATCATCCTGATTTAGACAATGGATTTCAAATGAATCCAGAGACTATTTAGAAGTGTTCATTTTGTCAAGGTAAGCTGCGCATTAAAAATGAAATTCAGAGGTATGTGTTAGCATAAGATGCAAACAGTTTTAATAACTGAGTGCAAGGGAAAAATAATCAGTGCAAATTAAATAATAACAACCAGGAGGGAGTACTGAATAGAGCCTTTTGACTCAATCTAGGAAAACTTGGGCTTGCCTGCTAACCCTAAGCATCAAATGTATCTCACAGTGATGTAATGTATTGTCCTCACTGCTCTGAGCTGCTTGGGAAAGGGCCAGATCTAAACATAATGAACTGAATAACTCCACAAATGGGGTAGGTACTGTAAACTTCAGGCTTGTGGGATCTGTTTTATTTCTTCAACCTATTTAGAGATTTAGCAGGTTTATTTAATGTGAAGCAAGTGACGTAGAAATGTTAACCTCATTAAGAGGATTTCTTAAATTTCTTCCTTCTGATGTACGTAATTCTGAAAAACGTAAGTGAAATTTTTAGAAGCCATTGCTATCCGATGCTGTTAACAGTCAAACGAATGACAACTTTGGATGTCACCAGATATGCTCATCCTCTTCAGGGGTCAGAAGGCTTGTGATATGTTAACTGTCTGTTCTGTTG